ACACTCTATGGACTGAAACAAGCACCGAGAGCATGGTATGACCGCCTTAGCAATTTCTTATGTGAAAAGGGATTTACAAAAGGAAAGGTTGGCAAGACGTTGTTCATAAAGAAGATCAAGGGTAACACCTTATTGGTTCAAGTCTATATCGACAACATCATCTTTGGATCAACAAACAAAGAGCTTTGCGAAGAATTTTCACTTATGATGCAAGGAGAATTCGAGATGTCCATGATGGGAAAATTGAACTATTTTCTTGGACTACAAATCAAGCAAACAAAGGATGGCATATTCCTCAACCAATCCAAGTACTGCAAGGAATTGTTGAAGAAATTCGATATGGATAGTTGCAAGGTGATGTCCACTCCTATGGGATCCGGAACGTACGTTGATCAAGATGAATCTGGTACTCCAATTGATATTACAAAATATCGAGGTATGATCTGTTCATTATTATATTTGACGGCAAGTCGTCCTGACATCATGTTTAGCGTTTGTCTGTGTGCACGCTTTCAAGCAAGTCCGAAGGAATCACATCTCACTGCCGTGAAGAGAATCATAAAGTATCTCAAAGGAACAACAAACGTCAGATTATGGTATCCAAAAGGTAGTACCTGTTCTTTAATTGGTTATTCTGATGCTGATTATGCAGGATGTAAGACCGATAGAAAAAGCACGAGTGGTACGTGTCACATTCTCGAGAATGCACTAGTGTCATGGGCCTGCAAGAAGCAAGCATGTGTGGCACTCAGTACAGCCGAAGTGGAATATATTGCAGCAGGAAGTTGTTGTGCACAAATTATGTGGCTCAAGCAACAACTCCTCGATTACGGTATAGATCTTGGTTGCATCCCTCTTCGATGTGATAATACAAGTGCCATCAATATTACAAAGAACCCGGTCATGCATTCAAGGACAAAGCATATAGATATCCGGCATCACTTCCTTCGAGATCACGTACTGAATGGAGATGTAGATGTTACTTTCGTCGATACGCACAATCAACTCGCCGACATCTTTACCAAACCATTGGCGAAAGAACCATTCTTCAAAATTCGACGAGAACTTGGGATTCTCGATGAAGGTGATATCTGATCTTTTCTCTGGTTTATGTTTGCATAATGTATGTTTTCCAATGTTTGTGCATTCTGTTTTTAGCAATTTTCCAAAATTTGTGTGTGTTAATCGATTAACCTATATGGTTAACCGATTAACACTGTTAATTTTTCACTTCTGTCATAATTTTTTAATGTGTTAACCGATTAACCTATATGGTTAACCGATTAACACTGATACTTTTTATTTTGGAAATTAATTTTTCAATGTGTTAACCGATTAACCTATATGGTTAACCGATTAACACTGTTAAAATTTTCAAAAATCAGAAACAAAAAATTAATTAAAATTTTGGAAAATTAAGTGTGTTAAATGTGTTATTTATGTGTGGTTAATATTTCCTTGAACATCCAAATCACTATCCAAAGAATTCTTCTTCTTCTTCTTTGACTACACTTTTGGACTTCCAACCAACATTAAAACCCACTCACATAACACTCCATATATATTGCCCTCACATTATCCTCTCCTTCATCTCTCAAAACCCTAACTCATCCAAGAACCTAGAACCCTCAGAATCTCTCAAACTTCATCCATGGCATCTTCTCACAAAGGAAAGGGAAAGTTACTGGAATATGACTCTGCATCAGATGGAGACAGCATTCCTATGGAGACAACCAAGAAACACCGGATGGATTTTAAGGTTCGTGTTCGTCATATTCTGCCGATAAAGTACGTAAACCTTAAGGCTTTTCCTGCTTCATCCTTTGATTTTCCTGTTCTGCTCAAATATCAGAAAATAGATAAGTTTGTCTCTGATTCTGGAAATTGTTATCATGATTTGGTTAAAGCTTTTTTGAATAAGCTATCTGTGTATTTGAATGTTGACGATGAGCACATTATGGAAACCACTGTTCGAGTTTGCTTCTTGAAAGAGAATCTGACAGATATCGCTGCGAAGTTGAAAGTTCCATCCTCTGGCTACTTTCTCTGGAAAGGAGTTAACCACGTGGAAGGACTGTGGTCTAACTATGACAAAATGGAATACTATTATCAGATCTGCAGGTTTCCAAAGGAGAATGTTGTAGCAAATCAACGAACAGTTCGCATGCTCTGTTATGCGAAAAATCTAACGGTTTCGAACTGGATGCTACATTACATAATCTGCTATGTGCTGATTCCGAAGGATTCAAATCATGCTCAGATTAATGACCTGGAAATGCAGCTTCTTTTCGCAATCAAAAACAAGATAAGGGTAAATTGTATTTTGACAATCATGTATCATCTTCAACAACAACTTTCTCTGTCTACACGTCTTCCTTATGCCAGGCTGGTTTCAAGAATCCTTGAGTTGGCGGATTTGGACCTTAATAGGGAACCGTTCATCAAGATGAAATCAACAACCAATGAGATAAATGAGATCAACATTGTTAAGAACACTGGTATTATCAAAGACGTTGACGACATTTATAAGTATGCAGGCGAAGGATCCGCCTCAAACCAAGCCTATCCCGTTCCCGAATGGGGTATCACAAATGAATTTCTCTATACTACCATGATGACCCAACATCGTGAAACTATGAATTGTCACCGAGAAACCTCCAGGGCAATTGCTTCACTTTGCAACCTCATCCTTACCACTCATCCTTCCAACCCCATGACTATTGAAGAAGAAGAGGCATATGATGAAGGTAGTGAAGAGGAAGAAGCAGAAGACGTGGATATGTCCGATGAAGAAGATTAGGAAATATTTGTTTTTGTTGCTTTTATTGTTTTTCTTTCGGGATATTGTCTAAGTTTTTAAGTTGTAACCGTACACTATTTGCTGCATTTTTATGTTTTCTGCACTTTTATTACGATCTATGATATTGTACTTGATTATATGCTGTCATGTATGCCGATATTACTTTTGTTTGGTTTTGAAAGCTCCTTCCTTTTTGTTGATGACAAAGGGGGAGAAGAGCTTGGTTGTCTAATATCTCTGTGTGCAGAATTTTTTTGTCTCTGTTTAGATAGGGGGAGTTGCTGAACATAGGGGGAGAAGCAAGCCAAGATCAGAACCAAACATCATCAAGGATATTGCATAGACACAGTTGTTTGTCATCATCAAAAAGGGGGAGAATGTAGAAGCACATTTCAATCTCAAGGTTTTGATGATGTCAACAAAGACTCAAGCTCATTCCATGATTGCAAGCAAAAAGTCAAAGTTTTCAAAACTGATCAAGATCAAGATTTTTACACTATATACCCGTGGGGGTATATGTACTAAGAAGCTACTTGCACTATATACCCGTGGGGGTATATACACTGAAGATAAAACCAGAATCATATCATCTATGGAATGTTGTCAAGCAAATCAAGCATCATGTGCAAATGTTCATTCAACTTTCAAGTTTTGGACTCAAGCTTCGGTATATCAATATTCACTCCTTTAATTGATATACAAGTGTTCAAATAATTTATCATATCAACATTTTGCATGTGCATGGTTTTAAAATCATTTGGATTGGTATAACACTTTTTAACTTAGTATTTTTTCTGAGTTTTAACAGTGTTAACCGATTAACCATATGGGTTAATCGCTTAACCAACTTAATTTTTGAATTCTTTGGGCCAACGTTCAAGTGTTAACCGATTAACCTATAGGGTTAACCGATTAACACTGAACGAATTTTAAAAAATTATTTCTTTTTAAATTCAAATTTTGTTTGAATGTTACACATTTTCATTGATTAATTCTTACTCAATTATACCTTTTTGAAATGGTGTTTTGCTCATATAAATTCTGAAAATTTCAAATTGAAAAACACCTCCAATAATTTTCAAAATATTCATTGAATCAAATTCACTACTTTTCAAATATTTTCAAAAAGTGTTCATATCGTTCATACATTTCATATCCTGAATTTTGAACACTTGTGTTGATATTGAAGAGTAGATTTTGATCAAAAGGAGAAGATCAATCATTAGATTGATATTATCATTGTATCACTTTCAAATTACAAAAATACAAAGTTATTTCTATTTGTGACTTGTGATCCAGGATTGTTGGACACAAGGGTTAGTGTTTGCAAGAGGATTGTTCTTGCACACTAGTTGTTGATTAGTTATTAGGTTGTAGGCCTCACCGGTTGATGGTGTGATAGGTTGTACTTTCTAAAACTATAGTGAAAACTCTCTTTCATGTGGAAAGGGGAGTGGAGTACCTTCAGATTATGAAGGGAACCACTATAAATCTTCGTGTTCATTTTTATTTATGCCTTTACTGCTTTCATCACCAAGAACTTAAAGAAGAAAAATTCAAGAGTTTCGAAAAACTGGAAAAAGTTTCTTAAGCCTAATTCACCCCCCCCCTCTTAGGCATACTCTAAACTTACAATGTGTAGGTCATACTGGCTTATGTAAGCTGATGTTTTTTTAGGAACAAATTCATCTAGTCTGTGACATTGTAACAAATTTCTCTAGAAACCTAAAGTTAAGTAAAGAGGTAGGATATCACAGCGATTTATACGTAGAGGTTGTGAACATGTTAAGTCAGTAGATTATAGAGGTTGTGAACATATATGATTGTCCATGTGATAAGGTATACAATAAATTATGGCAGTACTTGAGCCATGTCCTCTTAATAACAGTTTCCTGTTAGACGTGCCATATGTATCAGAAACATGTACATTGCAATATCAGAATTACAACAATATCCCGTTAAAGCCTTTCACCTTGCTATCTATCGATTACCTACAAAACGTAATTTGCCCCTATATCTCTGCCCAAGAACAACAGGCTGAACGTGCAGTTGTATTTACACCAAGCCAATGCAAAATGATTTCTAAGTCCCTACAAGACTAAAATTTCTACAATCGGAAAAAACCTCAATATCTGATAAACCCTGCAATATGGGCTATATTTTACTTTTTCTACATCATTGAAAATTGAGTATTGAATAGTTATCCGTCCCTGTCTACATCACCCTGTAAAAGCAAAAACTCTCGAATATTAGAAGATGAAGAGACAACCAAAGGTCGTGTGTGTTAAAGCAATAATAATAATTTAACAGAAAACATATTATAGGCAAATGTGGAAAGTACAATCTAGACAAAGGATGAAAATAAAACTCACAGCTTCCATAAGAATTTGGACGTCAGCATCTGGAATTTGATGGCCTAGTTTATGCAAACCTATCCGTAGTTCATCAATGTTGATTTTGCATGTGTTGCTTGTATCCATAAGCTTGAATCCCTCTTTTAGTCTCGCTGCTTCTTCTACCGACAAATGCTCGGCAATAACCTGTTCACACAAGAAAAATTAGTTGTAGAGAGAAAATGGACAACTCGTGAAAATGGGAAAAAGGATTTATATTTCAGGGATGATTCCCCGAGAAACATTCAAACATTGTTAAGAAAAATACCCTCAAAGCTCTTTTCTTGAGCTTGTTCATTACAGAAAACTGCTTTAGTCTTGCTCTAACTGTTTCTCCTAACGAAACGTTGGGTGCTTTCTTTGCATTTATTAACCACGGATGTCTGCATTTAGCGAACAAAAAATGTTACAATCTATTAAAATTTCTGTATGGAAAAATTTAAAGAGAAAAATAATGTCAATTTTCTGTGCAGAATATGAACTGCGTGTTACATACCTAACACTTCTTGTGCTGTAAGTCGCCGTTTTGGATCAGGATTTAGCATCTTCTTTACAAGATCTTTCGCATTATCAGAAACTTTAGGCCATGGGTCCCTTTTGAAATCAACAACAGATCGTATAATTGCTTATGCAACTCCTTGCTCAGTTTCTTCATTTCACAAAAGAGGAAGAGAGACAAAGTTTAGTAAATCAGATTAATCAAACAGAAAAAAGAAAAACAACAAATAATAATGAAATTGGAATAACTCTGAAGTGAAATGGGAAAATCCTCTCTTTTAACAATCAAACATCATTCACCGAATCACAAGACGAAACTAACCTGCCCAAAATGGAGGCACACCACAAAGTAAGATGTATAGAATAACTCCAGCACTCCAAATATCTACTTCCGGGCCATAATTTCTCTTCAATACCTCCGGAGCCATGTAATATGGACTTCCAACTATCTCATTAAATCTTTCACCTGCATAAAATGGAAAACTTTAAGCCAATTGCAAACCCATGACACCAACCAAGCAACATTGCAGACTTAATCATCAACCAGAATTCTTACCTGGTTGAAAAAACACCGACAAACAAAAATTTATAGCTTCCAAAGCTGCAGTTTCCTTCTTATTTGCAAACAAAAAATTCTCCGGATTGAGATCTCTATGCATCACACGTCACATCTAAAACAAACAACAAATTAAATAATTATAATCATATTCTCATGATGGAACAAACCCAACTCACAAAAACATCAATGCAAATGAAAAACATGGAATTTAATGGATGAAGAGAGAGAGAGAGGGAGATGGGGAAGGTTGTTAGGGTTTAGGAAAGAGACGGAAATGAGAGAGGGGAAAGAATAGAGAGAGAATTCTGAGAGACGAGAAAGAAGGAGAAAAAGGGTACGAGAAAGAGAGAGAGAGAAGGTGAGAGAAAGAGAGAAGGTGAGAGTGAGAGGGAGAGGGAAATGGTAAGAATCAACTACCTACTCATTGAAAGGGATTGCCACCATTTTACCAGTTATACCTTCACACCTAAAATCATTATGCCCAACTCAAGGTCATAACAATAATTCACATATTAGCTGCAGTTGCGCCCCAAAAGAAAACTCTCTATCTACTGCCACAACATTTCCATTAATTTCCCCCACTCTCTCAACATATTAAATAGTCTTTCAAATTTTTTTATATCCTGCCATAGTTTTAGGGGTTAATTTCCATAATGCCACACTTTTGCATCAATTTTCCAAATTGCCATGTTTTCAAACAGAGTTGTGTTTTTGGTTGAATGGTTCCGCCCTTCCAATGGGCGGAAGAGTGCAATTTTAAAGTCAACCGCCCTTCCAATGGGCGGAAGGGTGCAATAGTAGATTTTTATTCTCGTTTTAATTAATTTAATTTATTTATTATATTTTGTTAATCATGAAAAATAGTAATAACAATTAATATATTAATAATAATTATTAAATTAGTAATAATAATTATTTAATTAGAAATAATAGTTATAAAAAAGATAATAATAATAATAATAAATAAAATATTACGTAAAAATAAAATAAAATAAAATAAATTATTTTAAAATAGTACTAATTAAAATAAAATAGTACACTAAAATATATAATAATATTTATAAAATAAAATACAATAAAAGAACTAAATAAATATTTATTAATTTTTGAAATTAAATATGTACATTAAAATTCCTATTCACCCTTAATTAATTTCGGCCCGGTCAACGTAAGCGTTGGTGGGTTCCACATGCAGGAGCTTGTACATTTCTGGTGGACCTTCTACGATCAACCTCAACGTTTTGGGGTTGTGTAGATGGTCCTGCATCATTGTTAGGGTTCATGAATTCAACGACCAAATCATCACTGAAATCGTCCACAGTTGGTATCGCCGCCGCACTTCCATAACTTAATCTTGTACCCTCGTTACTCCAACTTGGTAGGTTTGAAGGTTGCATTGTGTTAGTCATGTAGGGGGTGTATGGATGTTGGTCTTGAGATGAATTAAGGGTGAAGTTTTGTGAGGGGTAAAAAGAAACTTGTGGTTGGGGTGTTTGATAGTTGTGTTCTTGTTGGGTAGGTTGAGAGAATGAGTATTGGTTATACTGGGGGTGTGATGAGGTTGGGTTTTGTTGTTGGATGTTGAAGGGGGTTGGGTTAAATGATGGGTAAAGTTGATTGTAGTGTTGGCTTGGGGTATAAGGTGGTTGTGTTGGGTTGGGATTGAATGTTTGTTGTTGGGTTATAAATATTTGTGGTTGGGTGTTAAATATCTGTTGTGGGGTGTTAAATATTTGTTGTGGGGTGTTAAATATTTGTGGTTGGGTGTTACAAGTCATGGAGGGGATGTTTTGGAAGTTTGAAGGAGTTGGTTGGTTTCGAGGGTCCCATAAGTATCTATTTTATGATAGATACAAATTGGTCACGGATCTATACCAAGTCATGTATTCCCTACTGGGTTTACATTCGGTATCCATGACATTTCCTCGTAGAACAGTGCGACGACGATTTATCCAGTGTTGACGTTCTTGTCTGTTATGGTCTCTCCAATCATCGAATTTCCATTAGTCGTTCGTTGTACTCTTGTGGTACCTCTCCATGCATGTAAGTGGACCAGGAATGTCTTGTTTAATTCCGAATTGGAGTTTCACCCTATCTGAATGATGCATTTCAACATAAGTGAAAGAAAATATGAATGTTGTAGAACTCCACATATCGCTTTCAGTTGGATCCTCATCTTCAAGTTCAAGATAGGGTTTCCATAGAAACTATAATAAAATAAAAAAGGGATTAGAGAAAAAAAAATGGAAAGTGCTAGTAAAAAAATAAGGGATTAGAGACAATACATCATCTTCCTCAAAATGATTGAAGAACGTCTGATACCCAGGAGCACAATGATGCGAAGTTTTTTCGTAATTCATCCCATACGTGGACCACCTATGAAAGAAATAGTTAGTAAAAATTATAGATGAAAAGAATATATACATAAACTTTGTATACTTACTTGGTTGCGTATGGAAAGTGGTATAGATTGAGGTTGATCCGCGACAGTCTGGGCATTCTGGACCATCCCCAGGCTTGAATCAAAACACCACAACCAGCAAAATTATGCACATTTTTCATTGCGCATCTACATAAATTTCTGTATAGATGCGCTAACGTAGCAGCTCCTCAACTATAGCTACCCACTTGACTTAAATATTCTAATAATGGTAAATATTGAAGATGGATAGTATTACCATTAGTACCAGGAAATAAAAAACATCCAAAAAGCAATCGTAAATAAATTCTAGTCTTATAAATTTTTTGTTCCTCGGGAGACTCATCGGTTAGGTTCAAAGCACCATAAATTCTTTTTAGCCATGTGATTTTAAGACTTTGCCCCTTCATATCATCTCGTTCCAAAGGCACCCCCAGTAGTTGTTCCACTAATTCATAGTTAACGTTTGTGTTACCCACAACCGCTAACCCATTGACACGGAGACCCAACAAAATATGGACATCCTCAAGTGTCACTGTGCATTCCCCCGTGGGGAGGTGAAAAATGTGGGTTTCAAGGTCGCCATCTTTCGCACAACGCGAGAAGAAATTTGTGATCAATTCCATATGATTTTATCTTGATGACGTGACCAAAACCCGCTTGAATCAAATACGGTATGATAACCTCATCAGGCTCTATATACTTATGTGAGCGTGATTTGAACTTTTTTTCATCCTACAAAAAAATATTTTAAATAACATTATTAGAATGTAACTAACATTACAAAAAAGTAACATCTTAAGTAAATTATTTGAATGTAACTAAAGTGAAAGAATGTAACTAACATTAAAAATAAGTAACATCATAAGTAAATTATGTAAATAAATATAAATTAACTTACATAAGATGCAATGTTTTCAAGTGTACCGCAATGGTCATCTCCTAAGGTGAGTAAAACCATTTTTGAGAGAATTTTTAAGAGTAAGAGTGGTAGTAGAATTATATTATAAGATAGGTATGCAGAAGATTATAATGGTAGTAGAATTATATTGTAAGATATATATGTAGAAGATTTTTCAAAATGGTATTTATAGGAGGTAAAGAAGGGTAGAAATTTAATGGTATGTTGGTAAAAATTAAATGAGTGTTGGTAAGAAAAAATTTAATGGTATATTGTATGTGTCTGCATGCATGGGAGCAGAGGTCCTTTAATGCTTATGACACCCACCCTTTCAATTGGCGGAATTGATGCTTTTTGCCTGACAGTCGTTCCTTCAATGGGCGACAATGTTGCATTTTGTCTGACAGCCCGTTCTTTGGATGGGCGGCTATGTTATGACATATTTATTACTTTTCAGAGTCACGCACAATCAATGGGTGGCTAGCTTTTATTCCTCTGCAATATTTTCAAACAATCGCACTTTCATTAGGTGGCAAGCTTTAAATGTTACTGACAACCGCCCATTCAATGGGCGACATTATTATGCCTTCGTTGACCAGCGTTGTCGTACCTCTAACGTCCAACACGATTGTTTGCATGCATGGAATTATTTAAACATTCATTCTTGCTTCAAATATTTATTTATACTACTCAATTATTTATTTCTACTCCTTATTTTTCTATATTCAAACATTCATTCTACTTCTCAAACATTTCACTTCTACTACTACTCAATTATTGATTTCTACTCCTTATTCTTCTATATTCAAACATTCATTTCTACTACTACTCATTCTACTCCTTATTCTTCTATATTTATTCTTCATACTATCATCTTACATAATGTCTACTAACCAATAATATATTGTTAATGCTCATTATAATGGGAGTATTGTTGTATCAAATGAAGTCGGTTTGATCTTTAAAAACACTGACGTAACTCGTTTCAGTGTTAATAAAAGATCATCATTCCAACATTTTAAAGATAGGGTACAGATGAAGGTGCAAGCTGGATCAGTGTCACAGATTACGTACAAAAATGCTGTCCATTTCGGGGGCCATCACTTTAAATTTGTTCCACTAAAGGTTCATGACGACGAGGATGTTGAAACGATGTTCTCGAATCATGAACGTTTTGGGTTTCATCACCTTGAATTATATGTAACATTTGCACAATGTCAAGAAACTCAAATTTCTCAGGTCATCAATCCATCCATAATGCCACACGAATATGTTGAAGAAGAAGACGGTGAAGAAGAAAACGAGGCACAGGTTGATGACTTATTTACTTCTTTGTTTGAGGAAGGGAACATGGTCAACGAAGTCAACATAGATGAACAATACATTCTAGTTGAGAATGTATTCACCCCACCGGCGCATATGACAATCCTGCCGCTAAATGTAGAAACAACATCATTTGATTGGCAACAGAATCCTCATATTCCAAAGGAGGGTGACATAGAAGTTGGTAACCAATTTAAAAATAAAGCTGACTATGTCGCTGCCATTAAGCAATACCACATGAAACACTGCGTGGATTATAAAGTGACAGATTCCGACAAGAAGAGATACATAATTTGTTGCAAGAATGATTCTTGCAAGTTTCGTATATTGGCGTCCTACCGAAAAAGAAGTGACTTGTGGGAGATATGCATTATGAACCCACCCCATAGTTGTTCAACAACTTTGTTTAATCAGGATCATCAAAAACTAACCTCGCAGTTAATGTCTCAGAAATTAATGCCTTTTGTAGACAAGGATCCTTCTATTAAGATTAGTGTTTGCATAAGTAAAATTGTTTCTGAATACAATTTTACTCCGTCATATAGAAAGACATGATAGCAAGAAATAAGGCAATTGAACAGGTGTATGTTAAATAGGAGACCTCATACAATGAACTTTCACATTTTCTATTAGCACTTAAAAAATTTGTTCGCACTGTGCTGGAAATAGAAACACTAACCACGTATACAGCTGACGGAACTATTGTGGAAGGGAAACACATTTTCCACCGGTTATTCTGGGCATTCCAACCATGCATCATAGGTTTTGCCTATTGCAAACCTATACTTCAAATTGATGGAACTTAGTTATATGGTAAGTACAAGGGTACACTGCTCATCGCAGTGGCACAAGATGGCAACAACAATATATTTCCTGTTGCTTTTGCCCTTGTGGAAGGTGAAACCGCTAAAGGTTGGGGTTTTTTCTGAGAAACTTAAGGAGGCATGTTGCGCCATAACCAGATCTATGTTTAATTTCAGACCGACATGCATCAATTGAAAGTGCATACAACAATGTGAAAAATGGTTGACATGATCCCCATCAGTGCATGTTTATTGTATCCGACACATTGCACAAAATTTTATGAGAGAAATCAAGGACAGAAACCTACGGAAAAAAATAATTCACATGAGTAACTATATTTCATAATATTCATTAAATTTTGTCAATAACATATATTATTTTTTGTCCTTCATTGATTGATATTTTAATTATTCAGTGTACGCTTTAAACCAACCAACATTTCATTACTATCGGTCAGAGATTGGCATGCAAATGCAGATGCTTTAAGGTGGATTGACAATATTCCAGCCGAAAAATGGACAAGGGCATTTGACGAGGGTCGACATTGGGGTCACATGACTACCAACCTTGTTGAGTCAATGAATGTTGTCTTTAAAGACACACGTAATTTGCCCATTACAACATTGGTAAGGGCAACATATTATAGACTGGGATCTTTATTTGTTGAACGGGGTTCAAAGTGGAGTGCTGTGTTGAATTCTGGCGAAACGTTTACAGACAACTGTCTCAAGGTGATGAAAGAAGAAACAACAGCACACATCAAGTCAGAATTTTTGACTACGCTAACAATGTTTTCAGTGTGAAGGAGACAATGTACCATGGTGAGGGGAAGCCTATGGGACATTATAAGGTCGACCTTTTGAACGGGTGGTGTGACTGCGGAAAGTTTCAAGCATATCGCGTCTCTTGCTCACATGTTATCGCTGCATGTTCGAACGTGCGCCACGATGCTTGCGCTCTTTTGTCCGACATTTATAGAGTTACAAACCTGTTTGGGGTTTACAACAATAGCTTTCCAGTGCTGCCGTACGATGAATATTGCCCAGTTTATGAAGGAAATCAAATTTGCCATAACCCAAGAATGCGGAGGAACAAGAAAGGTCGCCAAATAAGCACACGGAAATGGATAACTTTGATAAGTTTGAAAGAAAATGTTCAATGTGTCGTCAAACGCCACAATCGAATCCGGTGTCCCAATGTGAGAACAAATAATCGTTAGTGTTTTTATTAATCATCATGTATTAAATAATATTAGTTAATGATATCAATTAATATAAATTATGTATTAAAAATATATATTAATATTATAAGTTATGTATTAAAAATATATATTAATATTAATAATATTACTATTAATATATATATATATATATATATATATATATATATATATATATATATATATATATATATATATATATATATATATATTAATATTATCAATAATGTAAATAATATTAATATATATATATATATATATATATATATATATATATATATATATATATATATATATATATATATATATATATATATATATATATATATATATATATATATATATATATTAATAATATTTAAAAAGAATTAAAAATTGAAACGAAAATAAAAAATTTGAAAATGGACATAGCCGTCCGTTGAAAGACATAATAATTTTAGGCCTCTGCTCCTCATTGAAAGGGGGTAGTGTTCAGCCAAAAACCACATATTTTTGAAAAATATGGCAATTTAGAAAATTGATGAAAAAGTGTGGCTTATGTAACTTAACCCTTAAAACTATTGGCAGGAATGAAAAAAATTCTAATCTTTTATTCATTTCAATTTTCAACCCTCCCACTTTCTCATTTCTCTCTTCTCTAACTTCCGCACTTTCATTCCTTCATGCAACCTTGTAGCAGAGAAATGCAATCCCTTAACTCTCTTTTCAACTCTTCTTCTCCTCCTCCTCAAATTCCAATTCCTCTCCACAACCACACACAGATCCAAATCAACAACGACGACACATTCCAACAACAAGACGATTTTCTCAAACAAATGCTCTCCGATCTTCCTCCTTCCTCTCCCTGGAACAACCCTAAACCCTTATGGGACCCTAACTCCGACGATAATGTCACTTTCCCTTACGATGAACAAACCAACCTTTCCTCCAAGTTTCGTAACCACCAGATCACTGACAAAACCGCCGCCGCTCTCATGCTTCTCATTCCTTCTGCCGCCGATTCCGGACTCCTCCACATCCCCGCTGACTTTGACTCCTCTCAAAACGACGTCGTGAACGCTTCTTCCGTGAGTATAAAATATTATTTTCTATTAATTATCGATGCTATTTTTTTACTGAATATTTTATTGTTAGCTTTTACAGGCTGGTGACGGTTCCGTTCAAGCTCTCTATAACGGTTTCTCCGGATCTCTCCACGGTGTCGCCAATCAAGCTCACCATTTTCAACCTCCTCAGGTTCTATTCCTTTCTTTTCTTAATTTTTGAAATTTTAGATATTTTAGAATTTTTAGAAATTAACATTTGAGATGATTTTTCTCAGACTTATGTAGTGTATTTTATTTGATTTTTTGGGAATTTTGAATGATAGGTGCAAAGTTTTGGAAGTGGTTCAGTGAGTGCAACGAACCAGGCTCTGGTGGGTGGTGCTCCGGCTCAGCCTAGGCAGAAGGTTAGGGCTAGGAGAGGCCAGGCCACTGATCCGCACAGCATCGCCGAAAGGGTATGTTTTTCACTATGGCGTGTTTGGTTGCTCAGAAAATTGTACAAAAATAGTTTCTGTTTGTTTTTTTGTCATTTTTCAGTGTAGCAATTAATATACTTCTGAAAATGTTAAAATGTTGGTACATGTTATTCAGAGAAAATGCTATTGTCAGTGGCTAACTGCATTTCAGCCCTATTTGTTAGGGCCTACTATCATACTGTTTTGATTATAAAAATAGCTATTGTTTTGTTTTCATTAGGTTTAACTTACATCAATACTTATAAAAAGATTTTAAAAACAGTTAAGCAAAAATGATCACTAACAAAATAGGATTTAAAAGTTTATTGATTTTGTGTAAAAAATAAATTGAGATTAATCCACACTGCAATGACTATAATCAGCGTCTAACACTTTTAGCCACCGAAATCGCAAAAGCTTTTGCACAACGGCAACACAACAATAACTGTTATTTAAAATCTTGTTTATAGTAATAATCTAAAAGAATGAGTAAACTAAAGATAGTCACATGTATTGGTACCGTCAGTGTCACACAGCTTACATGTTTTTGTTTTATCATACTTTATCAAGTTTAATTCTAGCTTCAAATTAGAAATAATTCTCAACAAAATCAACTTTTATGGAAGTAATGGTAATTTGATGATTTTATTTTGATGTATGGCAGTTAAGGAGGGAAAGAATTGCTGAAAGAATGAAAGCATTGCAGGAGCTTGTTCCAAATGCCAATAAGGTAACACAAAACTCTACTCAATCCTCAATTGTTATTCTTTTCTTGATTAGTAGTATAGTAGTAGGAGTGATATTCAATTTCAATCATCATGTAATATTTTAATTAAACTTTCAATCGTTGTGGTTCATTACTCTCAAGCACACCTTTACATTCCCCCTTATTTTTAGTCAATGAAGAATTTATTTTATCATAATTTAACAGACAATAATTTTCTAAGAAACGTGTTTCCCAATTAAAAAATATTATAAACATAATGTAATGGGTCTATCTATCCTTGTTGAAATTATAATAATTTGTCTGGTCTGTGAATTGAAAGACAGATAAGGCCTCCATGCTGGATGAGATAATCGATTATGTCAAGTTCCTACAAGTTCAAGTCAAGGTGAGATGAGATTCCCCTCTTTTTCTTCAATTTCTTTTGACATGTTTTAATGTAGAAATAAATACTCTTTTATTGATGGCTTAATTGGAATGTTTACAGGTTTTGAGTATGAGTAGATTAGGCGGAGCAGCAGCCGTCGCTCCCCTTGTTGCTGATATGTCCTCTGAGGTAGTAAGTAATTTCTAAATGTCTTGTTGCCACTGTTTTTTCAAAAAAAGAAAAGAAATATCTCACTTCTCTTGTGCTTTTTAAAGTGACTAGACTTGTTACTTCCTCTTTCTAAATATGGTAGATTTTAAAATAAAATAAAAAATTAATCAACCAGCTAATACAAGAAATGATTAATTTTAATCATTCATTCCCTACCCAAAAATGAATAAGGCAAGAAATTGAGAGAGAAAGTAACATAGCATGTTAGAATTTCCATAAGAAGAAATACTCAGCATCCATGAAATAATGTCGGAGTGATGAGTCTTCTCACACGATCAAACACACACAAACACACCTACTTTCTTTTTTGTAGGCTTTGCCTCATACTTTAATCAATCAATTCAGAAATTCTCAATCACCACAAAACGACAAAATCAAAAGTATCACGCGTGGCTACTTTCTCAGATTCCACTCTTTCCCTTAACAGTGACACGTACTATTTTTTTTGTTTACAGGGTGTTAGTGACTGCGTCCAAGGTAACGGAAACGGCGGGGTCCACCCTAGAAACCCTAAAACGTCGTCGTCCAATGAGAGTCTCACAATGACGGAGCATCAGGTGGCGAAGCTCATGGAGGAAGACATGGGATCCGCCATGCAATACTTACAAGGGAAAGGTCTCTGCCTCATGCCTATTTCTCTCGCCACTGCAATCTCCACCGCCACGTGTCACAACAGGAATCCTTTGATTAACGCTCCCAATAATATCAACCCTATCACCGCATCCAACGGCGATGGGCCATCCTCTCCCGGAATGTCCGTGAACAGCACCGTCAAAGATGCTATCTCCGCTTCTAAGTCGTAGACGCCGTTTGGTTTGGTTGACCTTTGGTAACAAAAACAAAAGAGCATCTGGAGCAGAAAACGAAATGACGAGGAATTTCTCAAGTCTAGGAAAATATTTCGTCACGTTTTGGACCTTTCCGACGTCGTATTTACCTAGATTTAAGGAGAGGCTAACTTTTGTATTCATTTCTCTGCATATTGATCACAACCTTATCAATTTTCTAGTTTTTTTTTGTTGGTGTAATTTTCCCTTTTTTTCTCGCAATGGTTCAATCTTACGCGTTAATTTTTTTCTTTTGGAGAATGGTAACAGCTGCACTAAAATGTATTTGTTGAGAAATAAATAAAAAAAGTTTGCATGAGAAAATGGTATATTTATTATATTATTGATAATTTGTATTATTAGGTTAAATTTTCTTCTTTATTAATTTCTTATAGAAAGATTGTAATTAAAGATCATTGTGTATTTGTTTTTGAAAATATTATTCTTACATCACTTTTTAATAATTACAATTATTTTATTTGTCTTATATTAAATACTATGCAACTTGCCCTAAAGACATGTATTAAGAAACTTAAATAAAAATATTGTTTTAAAATATAATAAAATATTTTTATTAAGTTAATGTACAATTTTTAACTCAAATGCTATGTTTAGCTCTTAAATTGTGCTCGAGTAAGTTTTTAACTCATAATTTTGAAAAATTAGCTTACTCTCCTACAATTGTATTTAACTCCTACAAATTTTAAAAAGTATCAAATTTAACTTTTTATTTTTTATATCATTTCACTATTTTTTCATTATTTTTCACCCTCGATTCCAAATTTTTATAAATTATTATATTTTATTATTTAGTTTGCAATTCACATGTCTTATATTTCTTCTCTAAATTTTCACATGTATCTCATTAACAATTTACAATCATTTTAAATTTTCTATTTTTATTAAAACATACCTTAAATTTATGATATAAATAGGAAAGAATATAAATTAAGTAATTTTTAGGACATTGCGTAATCTCTTTCGATCTGAGATGCGGCTCTTATGGTGTTATCCAAAAAAACTAGAAGTACATAGCTCTCATTCTTACTCTCCTTGCTTGAAAGGGGAGAAAGTCACAAAACCACCAAATTTTACCACTTTGCATTTTTCACACCAGTTCTTGTTTCCAATCCAAAAACACCTTAAAGACCATATACACACCCTAAAAATGACCATTTGAAGCTGTTCCCACCATTGGTTTCCTCAAAAAACACTGAGAACAAAAAGTCAACTTTTCATACACCTCACTTTGACTTTTATGCATTTTTCACACAAACTCTTTCCTACCATCACAACCCTTGGAATACTTCATGTTTATGTTGTATTAGCTGTTCATAGTCTCAAACAACAACTGAAATTTCATCTGTTCAAACCGTTCTCAAGTTTTGCTTATTTCTTCAAAAGGAAGTAACTTCACAAACTTGCTCGAAAGGAAGGATCTTCTAAATAGAGTCTTGATTTATGGTGGAGCCTGTGGTAATGATGGCAAAGTTGAGTCGAAAGATATGTTGACTCTAATTATGTAGGTTGTATGCATTTCAGAAAAATCTATTTCTAGATATGTGTTCACTATGTTCGGCACAAAAATCAATTGGAAAGCGACAATTCAGAAGGTTGTTGCCTTATCAACCACTGAAGCAGAATATATTGCCCTCCCTGAAGCTGTGAAAGAAGCATTGTGGCTTGAAGGTTTTGTAAAGGAGCTGAAACTTCAAGGTCGAGTTATCACTGTTAAATGTGATAGTCAAAGTGCAATACACCTGTCAAAGAATTCATCCTATCACGAGCGAACTAATCACATCAATGTAAGGCTACATTTTGCCAGAGAGATAATCGAGCGTGGAAAAGTCCAAGTGCTGAAGATTTTGACTGATGACAATACTGTTGATATGATCACCAAGACATTATTGAGTTGCAAGTTTTTCCACTGTATGCAGTTGATAAAGTTGCATGATGAAAACTAGTTTATTCCCTGTTATTGTAAAGTTTGTTCCAAGGTGGAAATTGTGAGATATTGTATCGATCTCTAGTGTTGTCGACGGGGATGTTGTCAACAAATATAACTTTCATGTTTCAACAGGAGACAAACATGAAGTTGCAGCTGGTTCACATGTTGATGTTTGAGATTTACATGTTGTAGTTGAAGTTAGTTCTAGTATGTCATGTCGAAATGTATTGCCGAATTGGGTCTTGTGTTATGGATTCAATTGTTTAGATTAACTTGTTATTTAAGTTAACTTAGTAGTCTATAAATAGGCTACATCTCTCATGTTATTGAGATAAACAAATTGTGTTATTCACTTGTAATCATTTGTATCCTAATTGAATAAGTGAATATAACACAGTTTGTTAAAAATCATATTTTCCTTTTTTTCTCTTTCTTTTCTCTCTTTTTATTCTAACGGTTTCATTATTCACCCAATAAATTTTGTTTCTCAATCAACAATTTGTTAATTAGTATCATTTATTAAGCCGAACATTTTAGTAAATATATGCTAGCATGCATGTCACCTACATTGGATATATAAATTTAATAAAAATAAATAAAATAACGAAATTATATTTTAGAAAGAAAAAAAAATCATTTAACAAAAAAGATGCAGGAAAAATCTGGAATTTTCTTCAAAGTAAGAAGCGTGGTGCGCAAGGGGAATCTTCAGAAACTGTTCCAACAAAGAAAAGAAGAAGAAAGTGTTCAAAAATGGTAGAACGTTTTCTGATCGTAACTTTGTTGCTTAGCCTCATCTCATTTTCTTCAACCGTTTTCGCTTCTTCTCCACCATGCTCCTCCATCAGTGTCACTGGTTAGTCACTACTTCTCATGCTTAATAATTGTTCCTTTTCAATTCTTCTGTCGAATTTGCTATTAGGTTTTGCTGAATTCACAATGTTTTTCCTTTCATTTTTGGAATCAACAATTATGCAGGGTTGCCGCTGGTGAGAAATATCAGCGAGATTCCTCAGGATAACTACGGTAGACCAGGTCTCTCTCACATAACTGTTGCAGGTTCAATCTTGCACGGAATGAATGAGGTATCCAACTTAGTTTACCTTTTTTTTCTTCATTCCCTAAAAACATTTTGGTTCTGTTGTGTAAAAAGTTGATTATGAGTAAATTGATTCTGGAAAATTGATTAAGTTAGTTGAAAGTAAAGTGGTTTATGTATAGATAAATTTTTGCAAAAGCGAGTATGAACTCTAAACCCTAAACCACGTCTAGACTCAAAAAAGCTACAAATCCTAGTTTCAAGTTGAATCAATTCTGGAAAACAAAATCAATTCTACTCGTGAGCAACTAAACACGTCAATCAATTCTACTCATTCAGAATCAATTCCAAGTACTCCAACCTTGAAACCAAACATACACTAAGTTCATAAGCTAGTATTGTTAGTATTATGTTGGCGGTACTGCAATCCGGTTGAACAATCAGGTCCGGTGCGACTTATGAAAGAACATTTCGACATTTTCTTGGACTTGTCCTGACTACAACTTTATAATTTTATTTGACATAGAGTATCAAATGTACAATCATAGAATAGAACATGAAGTTATTACTAAATTTTTGGCATTAAGCAAGTAGGCTGTCAAGTTGTCTTGCATGATAGCTTTCAAGTTGTAAATGTAGAAAGGAGTTAAGTAGTTAACAAAAGGAATGACAGATTTGGCCTAATTTGGATTACTTTCTAGTTAATTGGAACTTCTCAACTTATTTGGTTTCTAATTTATGAAAAAGTTCTCAAAAGTTTATAGTTGGTTGTGGAGAAGTTAAATGAGAGAGCATATGAAAAAGTTCAGGTGGGCAAGCAACTTTAACTTATGTGGGAAGTTGTTGCTTAGAAGACTCGTAGTTCATTGCAAGATTATTTCATCTTTTTCTTTTCCTATGCGTGCTTGTTGAAAATTTTATCCAAACCGGGTCTATGTGCCACACTTGGTGCTCATGCCTTTTGCTTATTTGAATAGAAGATTTGTTGTTGATAGTTACACTATATTTTCTAGTTAAGAAAATCGATCATTTAAGTTATAGCATCCTGTTTTTCGGGCATTTGCGAGGTCAATGATCTGTTTGTATAATATCATTTTAAAAACCTTTTTGGAACAGGTTGAAGTATGGCTTCAAACATTTTCACCAGGAGCACACACCCCGATTCATAGGCATTCTTGTGAAGAAGTTTTTATCGTTCTCAAAGGCAGTGGCACTCTTTATATTGCATCAAATTCACATAGGAAATACCCCGGAAATCCAGAGGAGCACTTTATCTTTCCAAATAGCACATTTCATATTCCTGTTAATGATGCTCATCAGGTAAACCATTAAGTACTCTGAGACTTCTCCAGCTTGATTTTGATTAGGGAGTGTGGAATTTGAGAATCGTATCTTATGATCCAATCCGGTTAATAATTTCTTCACTACACTTAAATAGTTTAAAAACATCTTTTGATACATGTGATGTGCCTCATATATTAAAAACGTATAAAATTTAGAATGACAAGATAGCAAGAAAAATAGCGGAACACATTCTTTTGTATCATTATTGAGTATGGGATTATGTGTTTTAAACTGAACAAAACAGTGATATGTTTTAAACAGAACAAAACAGTAATAAAGGGACAAGATGTTGTGGATCCTAGGATCTTTGTCCATGGACATAGACACATGTGCAGTTTGAATATTGTAAAACCTAGCATGTATGGCTGTAAGTAGTGCATACAGTTGCTGAGTAAAACACAGATAATGATAAATTGATAAAGAAAGGTTATAATGAGTGTCGTTATGTTTTGCTAACAGTTTTGCTTTAGAGTTAAGAATGCCACGGGTTTAGATTTTAAATTTTTATTTGAGAAATTATAGCTGGCTGGCATGCAGAGTTGACCTCACTCACCTTGTCAATTGTGAACTTTAACTCAGTGATGTCTATGTGCAGACTTCAGATTCAAATGATGTCCAAAAAAATGTAAGTTGGTCATAGTGAAGTAACTCTAGGGAGTTTGTTAGGGACTTCCCTATTTCCTAGTTCCATCTTGTAGTCTACTCTAACCCATGATAAAAAACGGGATATCCTAAGATTGTTTCGTATATATAAAGTAATGCATGCTCAGTAAGATGGAACAATATTTACAATGTTTCAGCGAGCATCATGCATTAGCAAATGAATGATGCACATTATTTCTGTAAATAATTAACAGCGTTAGATATTTTGTACTTGTTCTTTGTTGACAGTGTTCTCTTGTGAATTTTTGAATAATTATGAAGAACATGTCTTGCAGCTTTGGAACACCAATGAGCATGAGGATTTACAAGTTCTAGTTATAATATCTCGTCCACCAGTTAAAGTGTAAGTGACCTCTATTCCCATTCTCCTAGGATTTCATACTTTACAATGTTTTTCTTTTTTTCATATGTTTGTCTTTTCTCCCGTTTATTTATTGAAAAAGTAACAAACGTTTGGATTTCAGTGCTAGCATTCTTTCCCCAAAGGACACAACCACCGAACTATCTCTTAACAATGTTTTTCTCCTGTTTTTAGTTGCTCATTAATCCTTATGTATGTTTTTCTTTTTCATTAGGTTTATATATGATGACTGGTCCATGCCTCATAATGCTGCCAAATTGAAATTCCCATACTATTGGGATGAGCAGTGTTCTCAAGAACCTTTGAAAGACGAACTATGATTACTGTCAAGGTTTTTACACATAACACATATTTTATTATAGTTGAGATTTTCTATTGTAAAGCATATCTTAATATCAATATGGAAAAGTTAATAATGTGGTGCGTCCCAAAATCAATGCTTTCTATTAATAACTTTTGTAAAAAAAGAAACTTTTGCGATCAAGGCTGCACTAATCTCACTTGTGATGAAAAAGATGTTTGAGTTTTGATAAAAAGTGATGAAATAGATATAGAGTTGATGGAAAAAAAATCCTTAAACATTTATTTACATGCGTCTAAAAATTTATTCACCCAAATCTGAAAGGAAGGGAAACTAAATCAAAAAGGTAATACTATAAGACATGATAATGATTCAATAAAACCAAAAAATTTCAATCTCCAACTATTTAGGGAAAACTATATGGAAGCCATATACAAATCTCATTAAAAAAAAAACAAAGTAAAGGGAGATTCTAAATTCTAAATTCTTAATTGTACAAAAATTTATACGACAGTGACCATAGCAACAAAAATGGCAAGTATGTTTGATATTAATATCTATCTTATTTATAATATCCTCCGAGGATTATTCTCTTCCCTACAATCCCGCCAACCTCACACAAACGTCCATTCATTTTCTCTAACCTCCCTCCAAAAGTTGTCTCAACCAACTAGCACACGCAAAAACAAAAAAAAAAACGAACAAGAAATTATGGCTCCAACTCTTTCACCCCTTTTCGTTTGAGAAAATCTTGGTTTCCTCCCTCATTAAATTAGAAAGGAGACAGGATGGCCTTTGGAAATTCACCACTCCATGGCCTCCTGTCTTTCCTCTTTCTCATCTCCTGCTCCTCTCTCCATCATGGCGTTACCGCAATCACCGTCACAACAACCTCTATCCACCTCGATGTCATTCGAAAGCCTGCCCCTGATGTCCCTATATTCAGAGAAGCCCCCGCTTTTCGCAACGGAGACACATGCAACAAAGAAAGCATCCACATTTCCATGACATTGGACTCAAATTATCTCAGAGGAACCATGGCTGCTGTCCTTTCCATTCTGCAACATTCAACATGTCCTGAAAATGTTGAGTTTCATTTCCTTTGGGCAAGGTTTGAGCCTCAGGTTTTCCTAAGCATAAGATCAACCTTCCCGTACCTCAAATTCAAGATTTATCGCTTTGAATCCAATAGGGTACGCGGTAAAATATCGAAATCGATTCGTCAAGCATTGGATCAACCTCTTAACTATGCGAGGATATACCTTTCCGATATTCTCCCTCTTTATGTCAAGCGAGTTATATACCTTGATTCTGATATTGTTGTTGTTGACGACATTGCAAAGCTATGGCAGGTTGACTTGCAGGGCAAGGTATTAGCTGCACCAGAATATTGTCACGCGAATTTCACAGAGTATTTCACAGATTTGTTTTGGAATGATGTTGAGCTATCCCGTACTTTTGACGGTCGGAAACCGTGTTATTTTAACACGGGGGTGATGGTTATGGATGTGGAGAAATGGAGAGAAGGTAGGTATACACAAAAGGTGGAGCAATGGATGTCAGTGCAGAAACGAAAGAGAATATATGAGTTAGGATCTTTGCCACCTTTTCTCTTGGTTTTGGCCGGGGATTTGAAGAGTGTGGATCATAGATGGAATCAACATGGACTTGGGGGTGATAACCTTGAAGGAAAATGTAGAAGTTTGCATCCTGGTTCTATTAGTTTGCTTCATTGGAGTGGTAAAGGAAAGCCATGGTTGAGATTGGATTCAAGGAGACCTTGTTCTGTTGATCATCTATGGGCACCTTATGATCTCTATCGTCCAAATACTCATTCTTTGGAAGAATGAGTTTTATTGAGAAAGAGAATGTGAATGGAGGGTGCGGGGAGGGGAGGAAGAAAAAAAAACAAAATTCAACTAAATCACACATTATTTATAAAAAATGGTCATTATTTATAAAAGGGAGAGTTAGGGGTGGAAGGGATTAAATAAATAAAAGAGTTGAGCAATTTTAACTCTATACTTTTGTTAATATTTTTTGTTTGTTTTTAATTTAGTCCTTTCGAAAAGGACATATAATTTGAAGGAATCTATTGAAGAAAACTAGAAAAGGGAAACACAGGGACTAATTTGCAAAAGTCTTTGTTCAAGGGATGGATCTGCCTACAACTCAAGAAGCCAATATAAATAAATATATACAGTACTTGGAGCAGTGTTGTTTATGTATTTTTCTTCTTTTGTTTTCTGGGGTTTGGAGGGTAAATAAGAAAATTCCTTGGGCATTGGTTGTGCAGATGATAGTGTCATTTGCATCAGTGACTGGTTGCCGGATCGATGAACCTCGTCCAAAATTAAGTGTCTGAAAACTGATATCTATGAACTTTTAATATTTTCTTATTATCTGGATAGATTTTGTAGATTTCTGTGTCCAGCTCAATTGCTGGTAAAAGATTATGCCGTTTCAGTTCTTGTTTTTGACTGAATATTGTGCGTGTAATTTATATAGTCATAGTCTATGAAATTGATTCCAAAAATTTACACACAAAGCTATAGTAATTGTTTAAAACCTTGAATGAGATGGAATGGAATGGTATAAATTTAAGTTTTATTGTTTGGATTGATTAAAAAAAGATGGAATGGAGCTGAATTCCATTTCATCCCATTCTATCATTTTTCATTATTTTTTGTATCCTCCGATTTGTGCAGAATGACAAAATCTTTATATTCCATTATAAAATATTCAAACAAGAAAACGACATCTTTATTTCATTCTACTTCGCTCCGTTTCCTTCCGCTTTATTTATTTTATAATATTTAAACATAACCTGAAAGTTGAAAGCTTAATCCAAACTTGAATTTAGAAGACAGAAAGTGCATGATTACATACATACGCAGTGGTATTAAATACACCTATGTACAAATTTAAGGTGATATTTTAAATATGTACAAAGCAGTTGTGTGTGATTTTCAAAATTAAATGAAGTAGTTGTGGCTTAGATTAGTTTACAAATTAATGTACAAATTGAGCTCTTAAACAAAGAGATAAAGAGAATCTTAGAAATAGTTGTAAATCCAACAAGAAAGACTTGGTGTCTCCAGATGGATGATGCTCCAGGGGCTTATAGGTCTGCATATAAGAAACCACTGAGTATGTCTCCTTACATTTTGGTCTATGACGAAAAATCGACCCGGCACTTTCACAGTTGATCCTGAGACTCTCACATAATAAACAATTTGACCATAATACCTTGAATAATAAAAATTAAATTTTCACAATCAAAACAATACATTTTAGTTTTTTTTTTTTACAAAAATCGTTTTGTGTTGGAGATTTGTTGTAAAATACTGGATTTTTACAAATAGCGTTTTCCATTCAACTAATGTGTTTTTACTGATTTTTTTGTCTAGAATACTAGATGTTCTGATGCGAAACTGATTAGTGACCAGAGAGGAAGAATTTACAGTTTGTTACGGTGTTTCATGCTTTCCGATGCGGTGTAGAGTGGACTGACTTGCAAAATTAGTATTACAATGCTCAAGTCAATAAGAGAATGAAAAATAGAATTTGAATGGGAATATTTCGAGTATCTGAAGTGTGACACATTTTTCTTTTTTAAACAGGGGAGATGGTTGATAATTACATCTGTGTGGGGTGCATCCAACTGTTAGATTGAACTGGGAGATTGACATAGTATCTTGGTGATGGCACTCTGCGACACGAAGGAAAAAAGTCTACCTAGTTTTAATATGGTAGCTTCTTACTTCGCTATTGGGCCTCTGCTTCTTGGGCCTTGTGGCCAGTCCATATTAGTTTCCCCAAGCCCTTGTCTCTGCTTTATAAGGCGAGGGTTTGTGACACACATTGTTATCCGGGCATGGAATTCGCAGACGTGTGCATTTTAGATGGGATGTTGCTTTAGAAAATGGATGTATTAAGTGCTACCCTTGGAAGTTGTATCGCATCGTTGGGAGATACTGACACGTCTTTATTAGTAGCGACATTACTCCTCCTTTAAGTGCTCGAGTGCTTTTGGGTTATTTATGAGAAGATCTCCATTGTTGATATGGGTTGTTGACTACATGACAATAAGTGCTTGAATAGAGTATACAAGATTTCTTAAAGTATTATTTTGCCTTTTTTTTTGCTGTGAGCTATCTGTGAAAATAGTGTTTTGTTCTTCTATTATTGTTTCTTGAGAGCATTTCGTTCTACCGTCGAATCAAACTCAAATGGTCTTGCTTGTTGATATCGTTTTGTATGATGGATCAATATTTTTTGAGCTCAAAGTTCACATTTCTGTCACTCTTGTCGTCCTCTCATTAGGGCATGAAGATTGTTCAATTTGGCTTACTTTGCTGCACCTGCATCAGTTTTGTTTATAACATAATGCAAACATGGAAATAATGTCAATTTTGATCAAGAAGGGTGGTAAGGATATTTCAGGTGATTGAGTGGCTCTTGGAATATTGTGAAGATGCATTAAACCAAGCTTCGACAAACGTGGGTCCTGCGACCTATTTGGGGGGGGGGGGGGATTTCCCCACATGAAAACAAGAGGATTTGCAGCGAATATGGGGGATGTACTATCCCTTTTCATGAATGCTTACTTTCCATCATATGTTATTGCCTTCCTTTTAATGAATTTGAAGTTGGTGTGTTGAATCATTTGCTAACCACCCCCTTGATGTTACATCCTTTGAGCTGGGTATTTGTTAAAGTCTTCCAACATTGGTGTGAGTATAAAGGAGATACGCTAGTTGTGACGTTGTTTACTATCTTTCTAAGATTGAGAATAACCCAAGGTTCTTGTTTTCTCTTCTTAAGGCAACATATCTAGTACTTTGAAGCTTATTTTGAAAACATTAAGAATTTTGACGATTGCTTCTACTTAGTTACTCGTTTGACTGGGGAGGCACATGCGGAGGCCTGGCTCTTGGAACTTGTCCCTCGATAGGCTTGTTTGAAGACATTCCATAAGTATTGGACCCAAAGCTACTACTTGACGAGGATGATTCATATACTTATAAGGAAGAAGATCTGTCTCTAGAGGAATTATATTTGAATATTCAATGGTAGCCTTTTGGAAGGAGCTTAATTGTGTTCGTGATGCTTCGAAAAACTTACCAAAGAAATATATTTAGACACGTTGGTTAGTGGATACCACGTCGAAGGAGGAGAGAAAAACAAATTTTGGTAAGCGGCGCTAGAGTCCTATATGTTCTTGTTTCTTTTTCTTGAGCATTTTCTGATGCCTCATTCTTTAATCATAAAAATACGATGAAGAGCGAGGATGTCATGCATCAATTGTGGAAGGAAAGTCAGGTGATCACTATTTTGTTTGGAATTTTGAGTACCCCTTATGTCGGAGGAGCCTCTACCCCAAGTACTTCTAATAGAACACATTCTGGTGTGATTGTCGGACAAGTAGCTTAGTCAATTACTCATTCTGCTTGAGTAAAAGTTTGAGATTTCCTCGCCCAAATTATGCTAAGATGGTTAACATCCACCTTGGATATGAAATAAGTTTATGCGGAGAAGCCTTCTTATAAGTGTCACAGGTTCAAAACTACGGAAGGGAAAACCTCTGCTCAAAAGGAGTCAAATCCGGTGTCGTTAGCGAGTCCTAGTCCCAATACAGATAGAGTGTTTAGGTCTTCGATTTGTGACTGAGATTATTTTTGTTTCTCAAGTTTTTTCAAAGAAGCCCGACAAAGGGAGTTAGCCAAATTAACTTTTCATACTCGCAGAGTGTCGACTATTTTAACGTTCGAAGCTGTTGGACGATGAGAAGTTTTCTTGCTTGACCGCCTCCGACAAGAGAGGGAGAAACTCGAGGGTTAATAATCTCACCTTTTAGCGAGATCGTTATTTATAAGAGATCTGAGGTGCTTATAACAAATTTTTGTCCATGGAGGTCGTTGTGAACCTTTCAAATATCCTAACACTGTAGTAGAAAAGGAACAATGGCTTGCTCGAGAGGTAGCTAAGAGGAATGGAGTTTTGCCCTCTGATTCGTCATCTTCATCCAAGGCAGATGCCGCTATGATAGAAGGGAGTCGATTATCATATCCTGCTAGGAAAAGAATTGCAAAAGTCTTTGGAAAATTTTCGAGAAATTAAGAAGAAGGCCAAAGATGGTATTCGTGCGATGTGCCAAGAAAACATTGACCTTTGTAAGGAGCTAGCTAAATAGTTATAAGAGAGTTTCTTCGTCATCGAGTGTGCTTTTGAGAGTGCTTTGACACAAGTGGAGTACTTTGATTTTGGCGTTCATGTCTCTCGTGATCAAGTCTGTCTTAATCAAACCATTGGGGATGGAAAAATGGTCTCTCTGGCGGACTAGCCTCCCCATATCTTCTCATTTTAAAAAATGGAAGTGTTTGCGTCTGGAGTTTGGGTAGCTTTATCGCTCTGTCCTAAAATGTATATGTACACTTCAGTTTATTTATTTTTACCTAATTTACGACGTTACTTCTAATCCCAGGTTCATCTTTCTAGGACTTAGCTTTTCCTTCGGGTTTTGCCCAAAGTTTATTAGACGTCTCTAGAAACTGTACCCGACCAATGGTTGGTACCCCTTCCCATGCCCCTAGTGAAAATCTAGTTGAGGGTTAACGAATTTGAAAAATCCACCACGGCCTCTAGAGTGGCTAGCTACCAAGAGGTGAGTGAACTAACTATTATCCATTTTAAGGCTTACTTCCTTTATGTGTGTGTTGACATCATGGAGTTTTGATTGCTTTAATCCTACACCCGTGGAATTTGTGACACCGCCCTTGAGTCTCTGTGATGAGGCTTTAATCTCTCTAGTCGTACCCCAAATTCATCATCACCTTTCATAAATATA